CCTCGCGCCGGGGTCCGGGGTCCAGCCTGGCGTGGACGCTCGACCGAGACGAGCGGGATTCCCAGCTCCGCGCGCACCTGCTCGGTGACCCCGAGTGAAGCGCTTTGGTCTCGGAGCCTCGGATTCCTCGTCCGAGGCTGATGGGGATGAAATGAGAGGATGCCCTTTAGGCGTCTCCTGCAGCGGGCAGGGCCCGCAGGGACATCTCCGTGGTCCTCACCATCACAAGCGGGGTGGGGGCCGTGTTCCCTGTCACCTGCTGTGTGTGCCCTTCTAGCCTCTTCCCAGCTGAATGCAGGGCTTCTAGGGGAGCTGACGGATTCAGAAGAGAGATTTCCAGAAGAAAATAGGGCAACCGTCAAATCTAGAGTTTTCCCTTCCAGACTGCGGCGTTTAGACAGAGGGAGCTCCAGTCCCAGCTTCTCCCCTTACCAGTGGTTGATGCTGAGAAAGGCACTTCCTTCTCCGAATCTCCCTTTCCTGATCAGTAAAATGGGGGTAATCGTTGCTGGTTTGCAGGGTTGTTGTGGTAACCAAATCAAATGTGTGAAAGTGCCTGACCTGGAGAAGGTGCTTAAGGAATGTCAGTTCCTCAGTTCTCTGTGCACTTTCCCAAGTGGGTGTGGGAAGAAGGAGACATGAAAGGCTTGAGTACTCGATTGACCATTCTCCCTGGAAACCTGTCCCTTGGGGAAGACTGTCCCTTCTGTGGCATCTATGGGACCTAATTGCCAAGATCTGGTGCCGGAACCAGAGGCAGGTGTTGGCCCTGATGCTCCCCTTTCTCCATCCCTATGACCTGCCCTCCCTCCCTGCTTCTCTTCTCTACCTACCTCAGAGCTTAGGTGACCTGGAATGTCTGCTAAGGGCAAAAAGAACCTGGAGGAAGTTGAAGTTCCCATCACAGTCAGAACCTGGTATCTAGGACACCATACCCTCCCACGCCTGCTGCAGTACCACACCCACACATTTCAACAGGAGATGGGTATCAATCTCAGAAAAGCATTTCCCAATCCTCCCATGTTGGCCCTGCCCTGCCCTCATCAGTTCTGCCCGCCCTGGAGTCCCACTTAAATCCAACCTGAATCTTCCTGCCTCTCCATCCTGCTGAACTGCAGTTAGCAGCTCCTAAGAGGTTCCAGGCAAATTTGTGGACACACACAATAGATGTATATCACCCACGGCCTTGTTTTCTTTCCTCCTTGTTGGACAAGGAGGCTGTGGTTGGCATGGTAACCTTCCTTGTATAAGTTGCAGCCCTCAAGGATGTTTTCAATTCCAGCAGAGACATAGCTCCTTCCCTCCACTGTAGATCACGAGGAGACAAGTAGCTGTGTCATTCTGGCCTCCCCCAGAATGGGGATACAGTGCTGGTGGCACAAAAGATGGTCTGGTTCATGGAGGGCAGGAAAGGGCTTAACGGAGATGCTGACTGGATCTCTGAGGAACAGGCTCCTTCTGCACTGTGGGTTGATCCTTAGCCACCCAGAGAAACCAGGATATTTAGGGAGTCTCTCGGGGTCATCCTTAGCCACCCAGAGAAACCAGGATATTTAGGGAGGTTTCATGGTGAATGGTAAACACACATCTTCACTAAAACCAGGCACCCAACAAATGGCCTAATGCTGGTGCTTGCTTCTATAGAAGCTGATAACCCATAAAACCTCTGTAATCCAGTGATTTCCCTTCTCCAGAGCCCCTCTGTGGAATAAATGGGTATTTATTAACCATCTCACTTGTTCCAGTTTCCCATCCATTATTTCTTTTTTAAAAATATATTTTATTGATTTTTTACAGAGAGGAAGGGAGAGGGATAGAGCGTTTGAAACATCGATGAGAGAGAAACATTGATCAGCTGCCTCCTGCACACTCCCTACAACCAAGGTACATGCCCTTGACCAGAATTGAACCTGGGACCTTTGAGTCCGCAGGCCGTTGCTCTATCCACTGAGCCAAACCGGCTAGGGCCCATACATTAATTCTTCCCACCATCCTATGAGGGAGGTAGTAGACCACTCATTTTACCAATGGGGAAACTAAAATTTAGGCAAAGAACTTAAGCAACCTGACCCCAAATCACATGGCCATGGAGTGGCGGCTTGAGGGCTAGAGCCCAGGTCTTCGGATTCCCAATCCACAAGGTTTCTAATAAATCCTGTCTTCCTTTGTATTTGCTACCGTGTCCCTGAAAAAGAGATCCTCCCCCAGGTCCCAAGGCATCGCCTTCTAGGAGCTCCAGGAACCAAATGGGCATCAGCCTCAGTCTCCGTGGCAGCGCAGTCCTGTGGGGTCCTGTGTGGGCCGGCTTGGCACTGCAGCAGCAGCAGCAGCAGTAGCGTCCTCAAACTCAGAAGGCCTCCCCCTGCCAGCTGCCTCGTCTCTGTCATGGAGTTTCCCCAGCAGAGGGCAAGCCGAGGGAAAGTGGTTCCCAGCTGCCAGCTTCATGGAGGCAAAATTGCATTAGAGTCCGTCCGGGCTTCCCTCGGTCCCTCCAGAGTGAGCACATTCAGCTCCCCCGCAAAAGGGAGGGTGGGGGAGACAGACACAGGAAAAAGGGAAACTTCCATTTCTTTCCCTGGCTGGGAAGCACTTGGCTTCGAGCTGCCACTCATCCTGTAGGTGGAGAAGATTAATACTGATCCTTTGGAAATTATACAAGTCACTAAATGAACCCTTGGGCCAGAGCTTTGCCCGGGAGAGATGCCAGTAGGAAAGCCCTGGGTTTGAGTGCTGTGGAAGGGAAGGAGAGGCAGGTCTCAGGAGGGAGAGAGACCTCAGGATCTCCTCCTTGCCTCATGAGCTCTTTTCTGGGTATCATTTTTTTCTCTTTTTAATTGATTTTTAGAGAGGTGGTGGGGGGGAGAGAAACAGCAATATAGAGAGATACATCAATAGGTTGCCTCCCATACAAACCCCTACCTAAGTCACTAAATGAACCCTTGGGCCAGAGCCTTGCCCGGGAGAGATGCCAGTAGGAAAGCCCTGGGTTTGAGTGCTGTGGAAGGGAAGGAGAGGCAGGTCTCAGGAGGGAGAGAGACCTCAGGATCTCCTCCTTGCCTCATGAGCTCTTTTCTGGGTATCATTTTTTTTCTTTTCAATTGATTTTTAGAGAGGTGGCGGGGGGAAGAGAAACAGCAATGTAGAGAGATACATCAATAGGTTGCCTCCCGTACACACCCCTACCTGGGATTGAACCCAAAACCTAGGCATGTGCCCTGACTGGGAATCAAACCTGAGACCTTCCGGTGTGGAGGGACAATACTCTAACGAACTGAGCCACATCACACCCGCCAGGGCTCTGGGGATCATTCTTCTTTCTGCGAGTCTTCTGTCTAAAAAGATGAGAAAAGTCATGTCCTGGCAACGGAACAGGGTGAGGAAGCAGCAAGAGCAGGGAACTATCAGGTTGCGACCTCCAGCAAAACAGGGGAGGTGTTAATAGTATTAATGGTTAATATTTACAGGTGTCAATCACACTTCATTAATTATCTAATTGAATCCTGTCAGACCCTACTGTTATGCCTGCTTTAGAGAAAAGGAAACGGACTGGGCACACTATAGACAGTCTCTCATTTAATCCTCACTACACACCCATGAGTTGAAACCATGATGCCCATTTTCTCCAAGTGAAAACTGAGGCTCAGAGACGTAGGGGACGTGCCCGTGATCACTAAGTACTGTAAGTGGCAGCGTGAGGGGTTAGAATTTGTATGTGGGACTACAGAGTTTCACCACTTTGCCAGGCTGCCCCCAAGTCTTTTCCACCCCTCCCGGGGCTCCTACTCACATAGGCTGAGACCACAAAAACCTGCCCACACCTACATTCCCCTGGTGCTCACCACACAAGTGGCAGCCTGGCTGGGAGTGTTCACTTGTTAACTCAGACTTGCCACCAGAGCATTTCTGGGGGCCCTGTATCTTGGGACGGTGGCTGTCTCCAATGCAAACGCCAACGGGAGGAAACCTGGAGAGAGCTTCCCTCCCCTCCCCAGGCCTTGAAATACAAAAATGTATACATCAAACCGCCCTCAGGAGATCTCCTTCAGACCCAGGGAGGTGCTTCTTGGAGAAGAGGATGGAGGGCCCAGCGATTTCAACCAGGGAGGAAGAACAGCCAGCGGCGGCCTCCCCAGCCAGGCAGGCTCCTCCGCACTGACAGGAGCAGACGCCACTGCTCCCACCCACCAGGCTGGGCTGTGGGGGTGGGACACACTCGGAGTCCTGAGTCAGAGGACAGGTTCCGCTTCACTTTCCCTGGGACAAGTCAAGGATGTAGCAGTCAGTCTGTCTGGAGAGGAAGGGGAACTGGAAAGTGAGAAAGAATAGTGCTCATTTCCTTCCCTGCCATCCCTTTTATTTGTAAAGCCTTTTATTTATTTATTTTGTATTCCACCATATGTGGCGCATGTTCATTACAGGAAGATTTGTTAGTGTGAGTGCTCCTCCCTCTTCTCTCTCCTCTTACCCTCCCCCTAAAGGTTTCCAGCTCAGAATACAATCCTACTTTCCAGTTTAGAGTTTGGTCTTTGCCAGCCTAGTTTCTGGATATTTTGTAATGTAGAATCAGAATGGGGGTGAGGGGGTACTGGAGAGAGAGAGAGAGAGAGAGAGAGAGAGAGAGAGAACGAGCCTAAGGGGCTGGGAAAGGAAGGACTTGGGCTGAGAGGGTAAATTGATCTATATAATAAAGAACTAGGAAGGGGAAGGGAGAAGGGAAAGAGACCCATTAGAAAGGAAAGGTAGGAGAATTTTATGAAGTACTAGCATTGCTGTGGGGCATTAAATGGATTCCCCAAGTAGAGGTTGAAATAACTTTTTTATTTTGGGGCTCCAGGATCATAATTCTTTATTTGCAACTTCATGTAGCACTTTAACCATATAGAGACCCAGAATTTATTAGGGTTCCATACAGGAAAGTACAAAATATCATTATTTGAGAAACAAAAGAAAGCAATCAAGTATTTATCCTTTATTTTTTTACAACTATGATTTAGTGTCTATTCTTTATAGACAAATTCTGGCTAATAAATGCAAATAGAATGGTAGAATTACAAAATCACCATTTTGTAACCTCTAATGAGATAATGGATTTAGATAAGGATCAGCAATCATTGGGGATTTCTAAAACCACTGGGTGAAAGATAGAGAGGAACTTTAAAATACCAATAATACTTGAACCCACCAATCAACTTTAACATCACAAAAAGAGAGACCACATAAGAGAATTGAAAACATATCTTCACATAGAAACCTGTCAATAATGTTCATAGCAGCAGTATTATTCATAATAACCAAAAATGAAAACAATCCAAATGTCCATCAACTGATGAATGGGTAAGCAAAATGTGGTATATCCATACAGTGGAATATTATTCAGCAAAAAAAAAGAAAGACATGATGCATGCTATAATATAGATGAACCTTGAAAACATTATGCTTACCGTAAGTGAATAGTCAGATACAAAAAGCTACATATTCTGTTATTCCACTTATATAAAATGCCCATAATAGGCAAATCCATATCTATAGAGACAGACAGTAGATTACTGATTGCCAGGTGCTGGGAGTAGGGATGGCATGGAGGGTGACTGTTAACAGGTAGGGGGTTTCCTTTGGGGATGATGGAAATGTTCTAAAATCAGTGGCTATAATTGCATAACATTGTACATATAGTCAAAACTATTGAATTTTATGTTATATAAATTATACTGCAATTTTAAAAAATCATGTAGGAAATTAGAGATACAACTAAAAATTATGTGCCTCTCGATATGTTATAATAGCAAAAACATCGCATCACTTCAAAAGTAAACCTGAATCTGATCAAGGCCCTAGATGTAACACACAGTTTATAGGAAATTCATGGGGTAGAAGAACATATTACAGGGGAAAAGTGCAATCTGTCAAATTCTGGAAGTGGGGAATTCTTCAGAACATATAACCTGGCTTTTTCAATTAATAAGTAGCAAGAGGAACCGTTATGAGTGAAAGAAACTTAAAACCTATCAACCAAATGCAAAGTGTGGTCTCTTTTAGGTCCTGATTCAATAAAAAGAACTTAAAAATAATTACAAAGATATATACTGAAGTATTTACAGATGAAATTATATAACATTTGGAATTTGCTTCAAAGCAATCCAGTGTGCAGTGGCAAGGAGGAACGAGTGTGGTATAGACCAGCGGTTGCCAACCGGTGGTTCGTGGACCATTGGTGGTCCGTGAGGTCGAAAGGTTGGTGACCGCCTGTATAGACGAAACAAGACTGCTGTGAATTGACAGCTGTCAAACTGCTTGATAGATACAGAGAGGATTATTGCACTATTCCCTCCTACTTTTGTGACTGAAAATTTATACAACAAAAAAAATCATTATTCATGAAATCAGATCATATTTAGAAGTTATATCTTATTTGATAGAAAATGGGCTAAGATTGAATAATTGAGTTCAAGGCAATTCATACTTTATTGAAAGCTGAAATTAAAGAGCATGTATAAAACCTGAAGTGACCAGCCCAAATTATTTTATCATTACTACTATTATTGCAATAACTACATTGGAAGGGAGTCAGGGGCACCAGGACCCTCCCATAGAGGCAGGAAGCAGTGTGATAATTTAGAAGTGTGTATGGAACAGAGAACAACTTTCCAACACCTGGAAACATGCTCAAATTAAGTTGTCAGTCTTCCTTATAACATCTCTTGAGTCCTTGTTGCTCCTAAGAAAAGTAGAACCAGCAATGGCTGGGTAGTAATGATGGTTAGAGCATCGTTCCTATACACCAATGTTGTGGGTTTCATCCCTGGTCAGGGCATACACAGGAATCAACCAATGAATGCATAAATAAGCGGAACAACAAATCTGTGTCTCTCTGTCTGTCTCTTCCTTCCTCTCTCTCTAAAATCAATTAAAAAAAGAAAAGTAGAACCTTCCAAATCTGGCCCCAACCTGCCTTTCCGGCAGCATTTCCTGCTCCTCCTTTCCTTACTTCCCGGCCACCCCACCCCACCTTTCATCCCTGAACATTGTTGCCTTTGCACTTGCTATTTCCTCTGCCTGCAAATCCTCCTGTGAACTCCCAATCTTCCTTCTACAACCTGTTTCTCTCTTTCCTCCTCTTTGACAGAATTAGTCATTCTCTGTTCCATATACACCTCTAATTCATCACACTGTAAGGTAATTATTTATTTCTAAATCTACCACCACCACCACCTCCCAATTCTCCGCTGCCCCAGACTCTATCTAGTTTATCTTTACATGCTCAGGGCCTGATATATAAGTCAATATTTGACACACAACTGAGCGACGGAAGGAGCAGCGTAGACTTTGGATGGTCCAGTGCTGGGTATGGTCCCAAGAAAGTTATCCAGATTTGGGCTCTTCCTTCCAAGAGCCCTCTCAACCCAGGCAAACAGTCCAATCCAAGAAAACCAACAAGACCACCTGGTTAACACCAACTCAGTAATAAGCAGAGAAAGAAATTTAGGAGAAAGGCTTTGAGCCTTATAGTGTGTGCGTGCGCGTGTATGTGTGTGTGTGTGTGTGTGTGTGTGTGTGTGTGTAATGGGGATAGAGACATCATTCTGGTGTGTGTGTGTGGGTGTGTGTGTGTGTAATGGGGATAGAGACATCATTCTGAGATAAGGGCAAGATCTCATGAATTCTCGAAGAAGTAGTTGAGGGAGCTTGATGATCTAATAAAATAACTACCCTTTCTGACTTAAAAAACACACAAATGTACAGCCCCCAGATTTAGAAGCCAGCAGCAGCTCACTGGTTCTTCTATCCTGCCCCAACAGACCACCCACCTACGGGCAATACTAACAGCCAAATGTGTCCACTCAGCCCCGAGTTCCTAGAAAATCTCTCCCTTCTTTACTTTTAGCACTTTTCTTTTATGCCTTATGGCTGAAGGGGCAGGTATCTGCAGGGGAGAGAATATTCCATCAGAGTCTTCATAAAGACCCCTACATCAACAACAACAACAAAAAAGAAAAAGAAAAAATAAAAGAAAAAAATTGACCCCTACATCACACAGATTCTGGAAAATAATTATTGAGACACCAGGAGCCTGTGTGCACAGAGGGTGGTCACAAGGCAGCAAGAGGGCAGCCAAGCAGAAAGCCCTCAGAGGAAAATAAAACTGTCGGCTGGCTCCTTGATCTTGCACTTCTAGCCTCCAGCACCGTGAGAAATAAATTTATGTTGTTTAAGTCACCTCCCTACCCCCCAAAAAGAGAAGAATTATTTGCTTGCCTAGCCTTATTTTTTTCTTTCATAAATAGAATAATTTTCTTCTGATAATAAAAGATATCTGCTTATTTGAAAATACAGTAAAGTATAAAATAGGAAATAAAAATTTCCCATAATCCCACCAGAAGTAACAACTATTAACATTTGATGTATATGTAAGCACCTTAGTATGTATTTTATAAAATTGGAGTCATGCCATATAGAAAGTTTTATATATTACTTTATCACTTAGTGTTATATTGTGGGCATTTTTTCAGGTCAATAATTATTTCAAAACATGATTTATAGTAATGGCTGCATAGTAGTTCATTATATAACAATTGATATCAGCCATGGGACATTCATGTTGTTGCCAACTTTTCTCCATTACAAATAATACTGTAATTAACAGCAGTCTTGGAAGAATTGCTAGGTCTGAGGGCATGAACTCTAATAAGGCTTTGGGTGCATGCTCTTGAATGGCCCTCAGGAAAGCATGTGATGGGTTATTCTCCCTCCATCAGTGTATGAGTTTTGTGTGTCAAAGGTAAGTTGTACAAATGGTGAGGTGTTTCTATGTTCAGAAAAAAGTAATGTTCTTCTTTTCAAGAAAAAGAAGAAAATAAGCATTATTTTCCCCATTAAACTGATGGGGAACCTGAAGGCCATGGATTAATAACTCAAAGATTTGCTTTATGAATGAAGCCTGACAGTTGGGTCTGAGGAGACTGAAAAAAATCTTTCTGGATAAAGCCAAGATGGTCTGAGAAGAAAATTCTAAGGACCTTGGTAGTTTCATTAGTCCAAAATGAAATCTGGCTCTGAAGAGAATGAAAGATGATTCTGAGAAGATGATTTGGGGGAGTTAACACAAATCTGAGGGGGCAAAATTGGTTCTGAGGCTGCTGTAATGGGATCAGAAGCAGTCACTGAGAGAGAGAGAGAGAGAGAGAGAGAGAGAGAGAGAGAGAGATTATAAACATGTGAGAGACATCGATTGGTTGCCTCCTTGCCTCCCACATGTGCCCTGACCGGGGCTGGGGATTGAACCTGCAACCGAGGTACTTGCCCTTGACTGGGAATCTAATTTGTGACCCTTTGGACCATGAGCCAATGCTCTAATCACTGAGTCAAACCGGCCAGGGATCATTGGTAATTCTTTTTTTTTTTTTTTTGAAATATATTTTTATTTATTTCAGAGAGGAAGGGAAAGGGAGAGCGAGATAGAAACATCAATGATGAGAGAGAATCATTGATCAGCTGCCTCCTATATACCCCCTACTGAGGATAGAGCCCGAAACCCGGGCATGTGACTTGACAAGAATCGAACCTGGGACCCTTCAGTCTGCAGGCTAACACGCTATCCACTGAGCCAAACCGGCTAGGGCAGGTTGGTTCTTGTATGTGCCCTGACCAGGAATCAAATCCACAACCTTGGTGTATTGGGACAACACTCTAACCAACTGAGCTACCTGGCCAGGGCGGACCTGAGAATTTAAATGGGTGGTTCTGAGAGGACAGTTGGAGTGGACCTTTGGTGTTGAGGTGACTGAAAACTAGTTTTGATTGGGCGGCAGGAGGAGAGTCACTGTCTCTGAGAAGCCAGTTTGAGGAAATTCAAAGTTGGTTCTAGAGAGATTCAAGGATGGTTGGCAAGCTATGGTGGTTTTTCTTTTCTTTCTCCCAGAACCCTTCTAAAGCCTCTGGACCAACTTGCCCACAGTAGGTGCTCTGTTAATTTGTTCAATAAATGAGGTGCAATTTGGTTCTCAGGAGTCTGGTCACTGGATTTGGAAAGGTTCTAGGATGAGAAGTTGGTTCTGAGGAGGAATTAGCTTCCACAGAGGCTGAAGTTGTCTCTGAGGAGGGCACCCATTGCTGGTTTTGTGGAAAAGCAACTTCTGTGTTTGTCTGGGAGCTGAGGATGCACTCTGGCCTCGTGGGCAGCCTGATGTACCTGGGTCATGGGGATGGGAGAAGTCACTTCAGAATAAATTCATTTCTACCCATTTACCTCCCCGGATTTGTTTTCCTTTTTTAATCCTCGCCTGAGGATATTTTTTCCATTGATTTTCAGACGAAATGGAAGAGAGGAAGGAGGGAGAGGGGGAAAGAGAGAAACACATCAATTGGTTGCCTCCTGCATGTACCCTAACCAACCAGGGCTGGGGATCGAACCTGCAACCCTTGCCTGGAGTCAAACCCACAACCATTCGGACCTCGGGCTGACGCTCTAACCACTGAGAAATCCAGCCAGGGTTCTCCTCAGATTTCTTTCTTTTTTTAAAAAAATATATATATTCTTATTGATTTCAGAGAGGAAGGGAAAGGGAGAGATAGAAACATCAATGATGAGAATTATTGATCAGCTGCTTCCTGCACTCCCCCTACTGGGGATCGAGCCCGCAACCCGGGCATGTGCCCTTGACTGGAATCAAACCCAACACTCTATCCACTGAGCCAAACCAGCTAGGGCTCTCCCCAGATTTCTTAAATCCCCTTCCTCAAAATGAGTCCCGATGAGAATATTAGGAAGGCCTTCTCCCCACTACCCCAGGGCCTGCTCTTTGGCCTCCAGTTTGCAAATCAGCACCATAATTTTAGAGGGCTGTGTCCTCCAAGCAGATACATACAGCAAAATGCAGCCATTTTAAGTGTACTATTCAATGACGTTTAGTAAATTTACAACGTTGTTCAAGCATCACAATCCTTTTTTAGAACATTTGCATCATCCCCCAAATAACAAGCTCATTCTCAGTCAAAACCTACTCTCACCCCAAGCCCCTGGCAACTACTAATCTACTCTCTGTCTCTATGGATTTGCCTTTTCTGGACATTTCATAGAAATGCAATCATACAATATGCACCTAACGTCTTTATCATAACATTTTTGAGGTTTACCCACGTTGTAGCGCACACCTGCATTTTGTTCCTTTTTATTCCTAAATGGTATTTGTTTGGGTGTACCACCTCTTGTTTATCCGTTCACCAGTAAAATAGACATTGCATTGTTTTCACTTTTTTACTATTGTGAATGCTGCTGCTATGAACATTCGCATCATATACTTATATGAACGCATTTCCATTTCTCTTGGGTGGATACCCAGGAGTGTGAATTGCTTGGTCACATGATCAGTGTATGTTTCATTTTATAAAAAATAGCTAAACCATTTTCCAAAGTGGTTGCTCCTTTTTACATGCCCACCCGCAACATATGAGAGTTCCACTTTTTCCACATCCTCACCAACGCTTGTTATTATCTGTCGGGAAAAGCTAATTATTAAGGATCATCTCCTAAAATAAGTGAAGCCACCCTCCCTCTGTCCCAGCCTTAACACATACCTGGGCAGGCAGCAAGGGCCAGTTCATCGGAGTTGGGAACACAGACCAAGACCAGTCCTCTGGCCTCAGCTGCCCTTTCACTCAGGCTGCTCCACAGTCCCGGGCTCCTGGGGCCCAAAGAGAAGAAAGAGAAGTTGTGATTACAACACTATTTCAGAACCCGGAGGTGGGTAGGATATAGGGTTTGTGACAACTGTCGGGTGAGTAGGGCCTGTGTTCCAGAAACACCATCCGAGAAAGAACCCTCAGAAGATAGTCATAGAAGGCAAAGTGTACAGATAACCTCTTAGGACTGGTCTCCCCAGGGTAACTTCCCTCGTCATCTGATCTTCGCCCCTTCCTCCTTTTGAGGTAGGAGTGCCTACCCTCTCTCAGGTGCCTTTCTCTTTAGAAAAGTATCACCAAGGACTTACATACCTTTGCCAAGCTGAATAAATAATGACAGCATATCTTACTTAGTCCCAGACATCTCATTACAGGGAAGGAATAAACAAACGGGAAGGAGTTTGAAGTAGAGCAATAAAAATGATGAAGGGGCTGGTTCTGTTTATAGGAGGAAAGATTAAATGAAGCAAACCCTTAGGAGGCTGGGCCCTGACTCAGTGTGTGTGTGTGGAGGGGGGGGGGGGGGGGGGGGGGGGAGGGGGCGTGGCGTGGAGATGGGTGATTTTTGCTGATTATTGCTTTGAGTAAGAGCAAGGCGAGGAAATGGAGATGTGCTGGGATAAAAGAGCCAGAATGGGAGGCTCTGGAGTAAATGGGGACACATCCACACAAAGACTTGTACTCAAGTGTGCACAGCAGCTCCAAAGGGAACCCACCCAATATGCATCCACAGGTGAAAGAATAAGCAAACTGTACGATAGCCATCCAGGGGAATACTCCTCAGCAATAAAAAGGAGTGAACTATTTATTCACACAACAACATGGATGAATCAAAATGATGCTAAGTGAAAGAACCCAGACCGAAATGAATGTATACTGAATTACTCCATTTATATGAAACTCTCCAAAAGGCAAACTAATCGATATGGCAACAGGAAGCAGGTAAGTGGTTGCCTGGGGACAGGGGTGGAAGAAGGAGAGATTACCAAGTGACAGGAGGAAAGTGTTTGAGGTGGTCGATAGGTTCATTATCTTAATTGTGGTGATGGTTTCCCCTGTGCACTGATACATCAAGACTCCTAAATTGGACAGTTTATATGTACAGTTTACTGTATATCAATTGTACTCCAACAAAGTTTTTAAAATAACAATAATAAAACAACCTAAGCACTGAGGAGAATGGGCTTGTCGGAGAGAGCTCTCTGAAAGGGGAGACGAGATAGTTTTCACCTGGATCTGAGGAGCTGCACCGACTTGACCTAAGAGAACTTCTCAAGTCAGCTTTGCCTCAAAAAAGGCTCTCCTAGATTCTAGCAACAGGAAAAGGGAGATGGGAAGAAAAATCACTGAAGTGGAGGGCTAGATTTGCTATTTGGGTGCAAACGTCTTATTAGCACCAAAAGGTTTATAGGTAAAGTGTAATTTTATTTGTTCAACACCTGATTCTTTTAGACTTGGCCTCATTTTCTCTAGGACACTGGGATCTCACTCTGCCCAATCTTTCCCTCTCAGACGGTCCTATGTCTGGCTGAACCGGGAAAAACAGCAGGGATGGGGAGAGAGGGTGACGCTGCAGGGATACCTCTGAGCCTATGGTACCCATTCCTGACTCCATTTCTGACTGGGGGTCGGGGAGCTCAGAGTGAGGGGAGATAGACAACCCTGCCTGACAACCAGGCTAAGCTCGCTGTCCTGAGTGCTTAGAATCTTTGAAAATGAATGAGGCTGAACATTCCGGAAATTCAAGAGAAAAGAGTCTCTCTCAGGCCCTAACTGGTTTGGCTCAGTGGATAGAGCGTTGGCCTGCGGACTGAAGGGTCCCAGGTTCGATTCCGGTCAAGGGCATGTACTTTGGTTGTGGGCACATCCCAGTGGGGAGTGTGCAGGAGGTTGATGTTTCTCTCTCATCGATGTTTCTAACTCTCTATCCCTCTCCCTTCCTCTCTGTAAAAAATCAATAAAATATATTAAAAATAATAAAAAAAGAGTCTCTCTCAGGTCCTGGGAGGAAGGGTGAAGAGTCCTTAGGACCTGGTTCTTTCTTTTTCTTCAGAATCTAAACCTTTGCTGGAGGAGTACCCCACCCTCTCGCCTCTATCACCTTTCTCCTCTCTATCCTTCTCCACATTCCTGAAGCCCTAGACAATGTCCCCAGGTATCTATCAGTTGCTCAACATTATCTGGGTCCCTCCCCTAACATTAGCCTTTATGATGATAGCTTCTATCAGCACTGTCCTATGCCCTTGGTTTCAGATTTCCCTCACAGGAGCAGGAGTTAAAATGGACACTTTCCTTTTATTTTATACTATAGGACTATAAAATGGGGCAATTTTGGAGTCTTGGCCTATTTTAACCATGCCAAGGAATTTGAGTTTGGACTGTCAGAACCCAAAGATACCCTGCTGACAGGACTTACAAAAAGTAGCTAGCAGCCTTGGCAGAATTGCTCACCACGCCATCTGCATCAGAATCGCCTGGGGTGCTTGCTACAGAGGCTAGTTCCAGGACCCCATCCCAGACCTCAAGAATCAGATAATCTGGGAATCTGGTTCTGATGCACTGTAATAGCATAGGAGACCCTCTGCTTTAAAGGGACAGATTCTCTTTGCTCTTTCTCTCATACTTTATTCTTGCCGTGTTTTGTTTCTTGGGAGTATGTGGGAGAAATTCTTAAGAATCTGTAACAGGCATAGACTTGTGTTCCTGGGCTTAGAGTGAGATGGGGAGAGGTGGGTGGGGCTGGGAAGAGGTGCGCCAATGCAAATATTGTCCCATCACTACCTGGCAATTTTGCCTGGAGGCACACAAGGATATGCCCTTTGCTAGAGAACATGGCTTGGTTTCCCCGCTCCAGGCTGAGGAGTCTGGTATCATGGGAAAAGGCAGAGATCAACGGTGTTGTTCGGGAAGGCTGGAATGGAAGAAAAAGAATTGGGCCAATTCCAGGGGATTGCTGGAATTCCCCTGGGCCCAGGGGAAGGTGTCCATGGGTAACCTGGGAGAGACCCACAGAGAGAAGAAGAGTGGAGGCAGGTGAGACTTTGACTTCATTCAAGGACTGAGAACAATACCAGGTAGGGAGGGCAATTATTCATTATCCTTAATTTGGGGGGGGGGGGTCAGAAATTGGGAGGGGGAACCCAAGGCTTGGGAATTCAAGGACACCAAATCTATTGCACCCATGTGACCAATAGATGGTGGTGTCTGATCAATTCACAGAAGATTTAGGATTGGAGGTAATGCTTCCATTCAGTGATCCATCCATCACTTTCCCCACCAAAAACTCAACCAACACCCTTCCTACCTCACACACAAAGCAAGTCATTCGGGTTGACTCCTATTTATCCTTCCCAACTCAATTTTTCCACCTTTCCTAAGCCCCGGGGTGGGTTGGGTGTCCTTCTCTGTGCTCCCATAGAGGCCCATGATTGCCCATATTATATAACAAAACACCATGTTGTAATATTTGGCTAACCTTTCTGTTTCCCCAACTGACAATCTGCATGGTTGTTGTGGCCAGCTCAAGGCCTCTCAGAATATAAGATGCTCACGAGGCCACAAGGATTGCTATAGTCACAAATGTGGAACCTCATAGGCTGGGACCAGAGGAACCTAGCATCTCAGGCCTCCTACAAAACAGTACAGACTTGGTCTGGATGGGAACCTTAAACACCAGGCCAGCCTCCTGCCCACTCTGTCTCATGCCCCTGGAAGCTGCCAAGGATGGCAGCTCCAGCTGGCAAGTAATGAAATTTCTTCCTGGAAGGATTCTTGGCTTGAGAACTGGCCCTCGCCTCTTCTAAGTTTCCTCAACACCCTCAGGTTCCTGGGGACATGGGGGATGGTAGGGAGAGCCCGAGTCAGCTCTAGCGTTTACTATTTCCCAGAGCCCTGTGACCACCCCTTAACTCTTGCCAAGTGCATATGGGCAAGAATTCCCAAGGACATAGATTTTTCCCAACCCTTGGTAGAGATGGGGGGCAGGGCTGGCTGAACATTTGGAGCCAGGAGAATAGTTCTGCCTCTGACCACATGTGTTCCACCCTACCTCCGGCCTTCTTTAGCTTTAACTAACCAAGATAAAGCTGAAGCCCACCAGATTGAGAAGGAACAGGCCCAGAATCAACAAGACAAGACCCTGCCCTGCCGTGTGGTTCAGTGGTTGAGTATTGATCTATGAACCAGGAGGTCGTTTGATTCCTAGTTAGGGCACATGCCCTAGTTGCCGGCTTATCCCCAGTAGGGGGTGTATAGGAGGCAACCGATCAATGATTCTCTCACATCATTAATGTTTCTCTCTCTCTCTCCCTCTGCCTTCCTCTGAAAACAATTAAAAAATAAATTTAAAAATGTGTACTTAAGAGAAAAAACAAAGAGAAGACCCACACCTAGTCCTCATAAGGAATTCATTCCAGCCCTGGCCGGTGTGGCTCAATTGGTTGGAGTATTGTCCTGTGTACTAGGTCACGGGGTCGATTCCTGGTCAAGGCACATACCTAGGTTGTGGGTTTGGTCCTGTCAGGGCACATACGGGAAGCAACCAATCGCTGTATCTCTCTCATATTGACGTCTCTCTCTCTCCTTCTCTTTCTAAAATCAACTTACAACAAAGAATTCACTCCAATGACACACAGTGGGCACCACAACTCTGGTGGGAATATCCTCAAAACCTTCAGCAGGGAGGATGACTGCAGAGCCCACCCCTAACCCAGGAAAGATACGTGCAACCATAGCTATTTTATTTTCCTTTTAATTTTTCTGAAGGATATACACCACATATCCCATGAGCAATAAAGCGCATTCAATGTGTTTATAAGCCAAACAGTCACTTTGTTTAAGCAAACACAAGTACATAGTAAAATAAAACCACAAAATAATGAACTGCATGTTCATAACATACAAAAATCGCCGCCTACTCAGTAGGTAACTACAACATTCCAACTCCTGAATATATTTATAAATTTACATTTTCAGTTAAAAAAATAGACTTTTGAGAGTTCAGATTTTTAGATTTTTTTTTTCTTACATTCTGGAGAACCGAAGCTCAGCTCAGCCCTCTTCCTTATTTTGCTTCCAAAGCTTCCCCCGAATCATCACTCCCTGCCCCCCTTAAGGCTAGAGGTGAGCACGTCCCTTAAACTGGCACATGTCAAGCTGTCAGCAAGGCGCATCACACAAAAGGCACCAAGACGTGAAACTTTTTAAACCAAAAGGACGAAGAAAACCACTTTCAAAAAAAAAAGAAGAAAAACCAAACCATATTTTGCCACATGTGAGAGAGTACAGTCGGGCAATATTTACAAAAGGTTAACGGAACATCACTCTGACACATGCTCTGATTAATACCAAGGACTGCTGTTTCAAAAAAAGCTTCGAACTTAATCATCACAGCAACATCACAAAATAAAGGATCACCATTGGTTTGCTTGGCTTTTCTTTTTTTTTCCCCCCCAAAGTGAGGCCCTAACTCCAAATAATACAATAGAATATGCAAATTATCTTCACATCAAGAGTACCCCAAGGAAAACAAAATCCATAGCAGACACTGTACAAGGGTACAGGGCTGGGCTCTGAGGGGCCCAAACCCCATTTTGCCAACTTGATTTTCTAGCATTGAAGGGACAAGGGGTCAGGCATATGGTGGAGATGATACTGAAATGATATATCCAAAATCCATGCAAATCAAGTTCTTGGATGGAGGTGAAGAACTTGGACATGGCTGTTTCAGGCAGCTGAAGTCAAAGGGAGTAGATGAGCAAAGGGGAGAGGGCAGAAAGGATTGTTGGCCAACAGAATTTCCACGCTGACCCCGGGGGTCAAGTAGAGGGGGAGGATTGGCTCTGAGAACCTCCATCTGACCTAAGAGGAAACCCTCCTATGGCCAGCTCCTCCTCCTCCTGTCCTTTAAATCTCTTGTGTCTCTTTTCCTCCCTTTTCCCTTTTTTCCTCTTCTCCTTTAGCAAATTTCAATTGTCCTGGGAGAAAAGGTTGTTGTCATGTCCGAAAGCCCTGTGGAGGCGCTGAAGGAGTTGGTGACAGCTGAGGAAGGGAAGCTGCTGACTTGGGCCGGGAAAGCAGGGGGGACGGAGGAGTATGTGGTGGCCACCGAGGGCGAGGGGAAACCACTGTGCACAGGGGATGGGTAGGTCGAAGAGCCAGGAGAGGAGTAGGAGGTGGGCACAGGTGATGGGTATGAGGTGGTGGCTGGGGATGGATAAGAGGTAGTGACCGGGGAGGTGTAGGAGGTAGCCACCGGTGATGAGTAGGACGAGAGGGAGGGGGTGGTAGAGGAGGCCACACCTTTGTCTGCTTTTTTGTCCTTCTGCCGCAAGTGGATCTTGGTATGCCTCTTGCGTTCATCGCTCCTAGCAAACTTTCTCCCACAGATGTCACAGGCAAAGGGCTTCTCGCCTGTGTGGGTGCGGATGTGTGTGGTGAGGTGGTCACTGCGGCTAAAGTTGCGCATGCAGATGCGACACTGGAAGGGCTTCTGGCCAGTGTGGATGCGAATGTGGCGGGTGAGCTCATCCGAACGAGAGAAGCGGCGGTCACAGGACTCCACTGGACAGGCATAGGGGCGTTCATGAGGGGGTGTCTTGCTGGGTCGGTTGGGGTACTTGCGCATGCGGCTGGGTTTGATGAGCTGGGACTGGTAAGTGGTGTTGAGGGCCTTTAAGTCCTGAGAGCCCGACTGTGTGGCAAAGGCCTTGATGGTAGAGAGGGGAGTGAGCGAAGGCTGCTGAGTACGGCTCTCCAGGCCCTGGAAGGGCTTCTGGTCTGGGGTGCCCAGGCCCAGGTCCCCCTGCTGCTGTGGAAACAGATAGTCTGGAATCATAGGGACCTGGAAGCTACCCTTGGCAGCAGGGTAGGCAGGAGGCGGGTACTGGAGCGCAGTGCCCGCTGAGCCTGGAAAGGCCTGGCTTTGTGGCTCAGGGAAGATGTCAGTGTTAGGTGTGGGGAAGGTGGGTGCCGCTGAGTAAATGGGGCTGCTGTCATTGGACGGCACCGCGCAGCTCAGGGGTGGGCTCTGGGAAGCCGAGGAGGAGGAAGAGGCTGCTGGAGATGGTGCTGAGGATGAGGTGGCCGGTGGGTTGGTCATGCTCACGAGGCCACTAACCAGGCTGAAGAGGGGCTCAGGCCACAAGGTGCTGCCACTGTTGGGTGCAGGCTCCAGAGAGAAGCGGCCAGTGTAGGTGATGGGAGGCAGCCGGGTGGTTTGGCTGGAATAACTTGTCTCCACCAGAACCTTCTCGTTATTCAGAGAAATGTCAGGAAACGACTCTGGCAGGAGAAAGAGAGGGAGGAGGCTCGGTTACTGGAGAGCAATCACTGGAGGACGAGGAGGAGCGGGGCTGTCAGGCAAGAGGTCGGGCCGGCTACCATTGACGGCCGAGCTGGTTAATAATTGATAGCAGCAGACTGCAATGTTCCTGGACCCGCTCCAGCGGCAGAACCCAATTCAACAACAGCTGACGCAAATACGGAGAATCCCCCTCCACTGCAGCTCCCAGCGCTCCGCAGCGGCGGCGGCGCGGCCCAGGGATTCCCGCCAGCACCCGCTCAGCCACCGCCGGTGCGCATCCCCTACCCCGGGGAGCCGGGACATCCCTGGCCTCGGATCACAGCCCTTCCTTGGGGACGGGCGGCAGGCAAGGCAAGCTTTTCGGGAGGGGGAGAGGGCCTCGCCGTCCTGCTTATCAAAACAAGCCCTCCCCCACCGTCACCCACCCACGCAGCCCTAGAGCTCTCCATCCAAAACAAAAGCTCGCTCCTCCGCGCACCGCTGGGGATGAGGAGGGTGGGGGTGGGGGATGTCCCCAGGCATCCCTCTAACACCTGACTCTGGGACGCGAGGAATAGAAGGGAAACCCCACTTGCATCCCCGAGGTCCTGCAAAGGCTGTGGGGAAGGACGGGACGCGGGGATGGTGGCGAAGGGGCGAATCCTCGGCGTAGGCCACCGCTTACCTGAGGTCAGGTGCTCGTAGGGCTGCTCGCCCGCCTCTCCTTGAGGGTTGAAAGCGCTGCCGCTGCTGCTGCTGCTGCTGCCGCTGCCCTCGGGCGCCCCGGCGGCACCGAGGAACTGGGGAGCCCCGTTGCTCAGCATCATCATCTCCTCCAGCTTCGGGTAGTTGTCCATGGTGGGCGAGTGAGGGAAGGAGCCGAACGGGTCAGAGATCTGCAGCGGGGACATCAGCTGCATCTCGGCCTTGGCTGCGGCCATCCCAGACGGGCGGGCTGGAGAGCGGTGGTTGGGGCGGAGGGGGGCAGCCCGGGGCTGGAGATGCGGGGCCC